AATTTCAAGGATGCTCCATGCGGGAGCGCAATTTTATTCAAAATTTGCCGGACGCTTGAGCGGGAGCGCGATTTTGAATGAACAAACGAGGAAATTTTGAGGATGTGGCGCATGGTAGCGCAATTTTCATCAAAATTTTCATGATGCTCCGCACGGGAGCGCAATTTGAACGAAAAATCAACGAAATTTGATGCTCCGCACGAGAGCGCGATTTATTACAAATTTTCAGGATGCTCCGCACGGGAGCGCAATATTCTTCTGCGTTTTCAGGATTCTCCGCACGGGAGCACGATTGCCTTCAAGATTTTCGAGCGCGATTGTTAACGAAGAAGTCGACGAAAGACTGCTCACTGACTACCGGGATCCTCCGCTCAAGAATGCAAATTTGAACGAAGAAATCAAAACGCAATTTTCATCAAAATTTTCATTATGCCCCGCGCGGGAGTTTGAACGAAAAGTCGACCAAATTTTCAGGATGCTCCGCACGGGAGTTCAATTTTCTTCCGGATTTTCAGGATGCTCTGCAAGGGAGAGCGATTTCCTTTCAGATTTTCAGGATGTTCCGCACCGGAGCGCAATTTTTAACAAAGAAATCGACGAAAGACTACTCACTGACTTCCGGGATACTCCGCTCAAGAACGCAAATGGTTTTGAACGAACAAACCGAAGAATTTTTGAGGATGCTCCGCACGGGAAAGCGATTTTCGAATGTGTTAAGACGAAACGTCATCAAACATCTCCAACTTTCTCGCGCGGGAGCACAATTTTTGAATAAGCAGCATCATGAATTTTGAGGGTGTCCCGCGCAGGAGCGCGAATTTGGAAAATTGGGGCGCGTCCAATTCGCACATAGGTCCCTGTAGCAAAGGACACGACGCTGAAATTGAGAGATAATGATGTTGTAAAACAACGAATTTTGAGGATGTTCCGCACGGGAGCACGGTTTTTGAACATTGAAAGATGAAAAATGAAAAAATCAAACCGTCTCGCATGGGAGCGCGATTTTTGAGAATGAATTTCGAGGATGTCCTACACAGGAGCGCGAATTTAAAACAATTCGCACATAGGTCCCTATAGCAACCCTAACTTAAAAGGAGAAGGGGCTCAAACTGAGAGATAATGACGTTGCCGGAAGCCCTCATTTCCGAAATTCCTGCCAGTGAAGATCCACTGCAAAAAGGCACTGTTTGGGCAAGGGCACGCCTGAGAATCCATTTTTTTGACGTTTATTTTCGGGACTCCCCATAACTGCGTGCTTGCTGGTATATTGTGTTTTACACGGGATTCCGTCATGTAGCGCAGCGCACCTCTGAGTCCCGCCGACCGTTCTGACAATTGGATACTGAGTGAACTAGAGCGGTTTACTCAGATTGAAAGTGGTGGAAGATTGCAATTTTGAGAATGGATCGACGGTTAGCGAGTATGATTGTGACTGACCGAAGGTTCATTGTCCAAGGGGCCCGTGACATTGTTCCATTGCACTATTATTACAGAATAGCATTGTGATGCCATGATCGATACATTCTCACATGGATTGATTATTGGCTCAAGTGCGCGGAAAAGGTCAAGTGTCAAGTGCTGAGTGATTGCATCACATGAGCATTGCTTGCTATCCATGTGATAGTATGTTTGCATATGCTAGCCGAGAGGTGATTTTGTCCACATGTCGACATGGCAGTTGCCATCAGGAAGTTTTTCTGTGCGGAGCATGTTCTGCATGCTTTATTTGGTCAAAAATGGCAAATGTAAATGTGGGTTTCGTGAACATAGTTCTTTGTCCCCAATCGGGTATGTTTTCTGATTCCTTTGCTTGTGCGCCTGTTCCTCTGCTGATGTTGTTTCAAAATCTTGACATGGGGTCGTCCGAATGCTTCTAGTGTTCGGTTTTTTCAAACGGATGCACCTTAAAATTAGGAACTGATAATGATCACGCAGTTTAAGGCAAATTTGACGTGCTTCCGGACGTGTGATGGTTGTTGCCAATTTTCGAAGCATGACTGTTGCACCAGTGGTGCGCACCACCCGTCCGTCGGTGTGCCGCCCTTGCATCAACAGGCGCTTCTTGGGGTTCTCCATGACCCTGAGCTTTCCAGCAGGAGTCACGTTTCAATCCCTTCGGCATTCGCTTTCCAGCAACCAGGCAATGGGAGGCACATCCCGGAGCCATAGCGCGGGAGGCTGGAGCCGGGTGCGGGTAGGTTTTAGAAATGCGGTTTACGGTGACCTGAAGTTACATGGGTATCTTCAACGAAGCGTTCATTGGCATTTCAACCGCCTTTGTAAAAGCTTGCTCAAGGACAGATTAAGTCGCAATCGTAGGCCTTTTCGTGAAGCGAAGCAAAGTTCTTGCATGACCCGGCGCCTCGACTTGAGGCAGGAGCTCCACTCCAAAACTCAAATGTCGGTCAGCCTCAAACCGAACCCGAGCTGCTTTTATCACGGAACTTGTCGTGGGCTTGCAGAGTTCACACGCGAATCTGGTCCAATACCAAAAGTTGTCAGTTGTCATATTGAGATTTGTCAATTTCAAGGTGGAGGGCGTTTAAGAGTTTTCAATGGTTTCCATGGGTTTCCGAGTGGCGCCCAGGTAGTTCTAAAGGGTTCCTGGGGGTTTCTAAGCTCCTGAGGGCTTTTAAGGGGGTTGCGAGCTCAGGTTTACAAAGGCGTTACTAGTGGCAAGCGGACAAGGACTTAGGAAGGATGTCGTTCTGACAACGGCATGGAACCAAAGACTAACCATTGACATTTTTCGTATTTCATTTCGTATAACGATTACTGTCACTATTGCTTTTCATGTCCTTATGTCTCTTCCTATAGTAATTTCATTTCAATTTTACGGACAATTATTCTTATAAGAAGTACTACCATTATCAGTATCATTCGCATTACTATGTCAAGTATTGCTAAAACTTGAATTAGTCCGTAGTGCTACTACTCGTATTACGATTATAACTATTAAGACATGATTTGTACTATTCTTACAACTAGTATTACTGTTACTATTACAATTATTTTTTCATCATGATTATTGCGGTTACTGTGCTTATTACTTTTATTCTTATTGGGATTACAATTATGATTACTATTATTCACATTATCACTATAGTGTATCTTGCTTTCAGTATTTGTATTTCTAGTACGTTATTGGGAACCTGGGCTCCTTGCGCAGGTGCAGAGCCAAGAGTTCCGGCAGGTCGCTGGGCTTTGCGCAGAGGCATTTGCGGAGGCGTCCAAGATGCATTTATTTCTCTTTTCCAGCCTTAAGCCGGCGTCCGGCAAGCAGTCATTGTAAGGAACCCTCGCAATTGTTGACTTGACATGCAAGTTTTTGAAATATTCATCGCAGTGTACACTGATAGAATGCTGATTCGACGGCTGGTCCAAAGAAAATGATGTGAAAGCAAGATGCGAAGTGAAGCTTCCCAGGCGAGATTCCAGAAAGTTCGATTGCCAAGATGTTGAGAGTCAAGTTGAGGCATAAGTCTCTTCCAGAAATCCTCAATTGCATCCTCAAAATTGGCGTAGGTGTACGGACGCCACAATTGTAAGCCACCGAGCTTGAGGATGCGTTGTAGTAGGATGCATTGTAGGAGGATGCTTACCCTTGTTTCCTGGCCAAAGCTGGTCTCCAACCCGGCCAGGTTCCACAACACGGAGACATAGCCCATGGCATCAAGGTAACAAAACGCAGTTGATCATCGGATTTTGAAAAGCCTCAGAGAACGCGGGGCCCAGCTGCGTTCAGAAGGGCCAACATGGTGCGTAACTGCAAGCTTCAGCGGATTTGTTTCGTTAAGACCGGCCATTGTCTCGGATCGTTGAAGTCTGTAAAGCTATGCCGTCGTAGATAGAGCAGAGTCTTAGAGCTTGCTGTTGTTTAGTTTGCTTTATGAAGAAATTCGAAAGCGCACAAGTTGTGAGCAGGTGAATGCAACACACGACAGAGAATGGGGACGATTATAGGGTTATACATGGGAACACTCCCTCACTCTCCCTGAAGCACGAGTAAGATGCCCGCGTCAAGGCCGCATCTCCTGGTAATTTGTTGGAGCCAGCGGCCCAAGGGTTGCCAGGGGTAGGTTTGAGCATGATTTTTGTGACCGGTGATCTTAATAATAGTAGTAATATGCAGGCAGGCCCCCAAACCTATGCCAGTCATGCCAGTTGCGAACTTGAGCATTTTTGGCTTCAGGACTGTCGGGCAACTTGTTGTAGATGAACACGAGCGTAGGAAAGCAGCGGTTGATGAAAAGTTGTATGCCGTTTCGAAGTAGGCTCGAAAAAAGTTGGGGCTGCGCCTGGCTTTTTGCTTCTCAAATGCCCTGGTTTCAGATTTAGGAGCTTCTGAGGAGCTTTGGCTTGGGTCCAGGTATCAGACGCTTGTGGGTGTTTGAGTTTTTGGCTCTTTCTCATCGTCAGCTCAGAGTCTGTTTTAGTGATCAACCGGGAAGTCTGAGCATGCTTAAGTGCTGGATTGTGTTTCCTCATTTCTCGTTTCTCACATTTGTCTGTTGTCTTTTACAAAAGTTGCCGAGGGCTGTCCTGGGAAATGCTCAGCAAAGAGTTGTCGCTGCTGTCATGGAGGTGTCGCTGGTGCCACTGGGCCCAAGGATTTAGCTGTGGGCTGCACGGGTTCGTCTGAGGGTGGAAGTGTGGCTTCACTTTGGCTTCTTTAGTGAGAATTGGTGGGTTCCGTGTGGCCATTTTCTTTGTGTCATAATCCGCCATCATTGCTGAGGATTTGAATCTGATCCGGTACAGGTACGTACCCAGAATTCATCGCCCCAGAGTCTGCTTACAGGATGCAAAAGGCGTAAGAGGCGTAATGATGTTGGATGCAAATGTGGGACCTTTGTTTTCCTTTCAGCTGAGGCTCTAAGGTTCCTGCTTCAGACGGTCCAATTTGCGATTCACTTTTCCTGGACCCAAGTCCTAAGTGATGGTGTATTTTGGTCTGTTTCTGATTTTGCGATGTGCCGGAAAAACCGACACTGGGCAAGGCAGCGTGCCATCGTCGCAGCATTCTTCCAGGGGCGTGCAGAACCTCAGATGTGTTGGCCAGGCCCAGTTGTTTGGGCTAGGAACTAAAATGCAGGACAAGATGGATGCAGCCTGCTCACCTCAGTTGTCCAAGGAGCGCCTGCGGCAGCAGCCACCGCGTAGGCAGAAAGTTCTGGTTGCACTTTGGCTGACGGATCTGGTGCAGTCTTGGAATCTTGTTCTCACGTGCTTAGGGATTCTTCTACCTCACGGGCAGCAGAAGTCACAAAGCCATGCTGAGGTTGACAACATAGAGGACGGCGGCCTAGCAGCTGCTTGCGAGCTGCAGCTGCGGGAAGGAAAACGTGCCTTCCTGCACCTTGTATCAAGATTACTGCGATATCGCTGAGAATCATGTAAAATCATTATGGACCAGAATCACCGTATATTCTTTATCGTGGCGCTACAAGTCTTTTTTTACAGGGCCACAAACCTGCCCCAGATTTGTGGCATGAGGGTATGCTAGTGTGGGGTTGAGATGCACTTAGGCATAGCCAGGCCCGGACAGCACTGTGCCTAAGGTAGTTATTAGCGACAGCTCACGGCTTGGCCAGACTGTTCCGAACAGAGCACTTGATGGATCAAAGCTAGCCCTAAACGCACGGTGTTTGCCTGATAAAGTTCATGGCTTCTTATGGTGCAGAACTTCAAGGATTCATCTGTGTTGAGACATTAGATTAGCACGGAAGAAGTTCAACTCAGTTGATAGAAGAATTCCTCGGGCTCATTTTCAAGGTGAGTTGTTGTGTGGGGGAACTTTGGATGGCTTTGCACCCAGTGTCATTCATGGCAGCCCTGGCCTACATGTTTGCCTTCCCGTTAGTCCTGCGGGTTGGAAAGTACATAGCTCTCGTTTCCAGTTTTGTTGTTGTCTCCACAGGAAACTTGTTGGAAGCGTGAGACTTACTAGCCGTGGTCAGCAAGCAGAAGGCAACGCGTTCGACCTTGTAATTGTTCCTCACTGTGGTGGCTGCTTTGTTAGGGCATGGAACATCAAGATGTTTCTTGCTCCGGCACAACCCAACCGAACCGTCCGAACCGTCATGCTTTTTTAAGGACCTCCGTGGCCGTGGCACCACGCTGGCGCCGGCGGGGCTATGCCAGGAAGCTGCTGAGGCGAATGGCGAGGTGTTTCGTTTCTTTGAAACGTTTAAGGGTACGGCTTTGGACGTCGATTGTTTTGTTGAGCAGCACTCAGAATGCAGTGACAGAAACAACTACAAAGAACTCGCCTTCCTCCTGTTGTCCCCAACGCGCTGGTCGTCTGGGGGCGGACTTTGATGGTAGATGGTGCCTGGAGGCCCGGTACAATGTTGAATCCACAAGTGCTGTATTTCGCTTTAGTGGCTCAGGGTATGACCCAAGGGGTACTTCTGTAGCATTCGGAAGGCACCATGTCTTCTTCATGCAGTGTTCGATGCCAATATCGCATTGGAAGATATCGGACGTGAGGCATGTGGCTTCCGTGAGGTATTCAGGTTTCAGGGCATTATAAGCAGCTCTCGGTTCTGAATTGGGCACGCAGCGGGGCGCTGTCGCATCGGCATGCCTGGCAGAACAGGATACTGTGTGCACTAAGCAGAAGATGCGAGACGCTCATTGGAAATGGCTCAGGTACTGACAAGTTATACCTGAATGCAGGCTGCTTGGCTTAGCGCCTTTCCACCGGAACAAGCACAAAATACCAATTCGATCTCACGCTATGTTTGAAAAACGTATTCTTGCTTCATCTGACAGAAGCAGGTGCGGCAGGATCCTGTACTATTGTCTTTCTTTGCAGACGCCTGTGATGAAACTGTAGTACTCAACTCAACGCCCTAAGTACAGAGATCCTGACCCACAACCCTCACTGTAAGGCTGGAACTACGGGCCCTCAATGGGGTTTATGGGGTATATACTAGGTAAACAAGGACCCCAGGATTCAGGGTCCACACTGAACACAGGGTCCACACTGAACATAGACCCACACAGAAGTTCGCACAGCTGCAAGCCTTTGATCCTTTTCCCTAAGCCCTAAACCCTGAACCATGTACCTCTTACCAGGTCTGCGGAAACCGCGGCAAGAAAATGGGGCTGCCAGGCAGGTGTAAGAGTAAGATTGGGATATTGCTGGGAACTATGTTGATCTAACCGCTAACGCGAGACCGCCTCGGCAAGTGTATCTCCCCTGCCAGCCCCAAGGGTAGGGAAGGGTAAGCTCCTAGTCTCGGTCACTGGATCTAAACGCCCAAGGCCTCCGGCCTCGGCGGATTATTTTGATGGACCACAGTCACTCCATAGCTTAATATAAGCCATGAGAATGACATTTTCTAGGGCCCTCAAATCTATTCCAGACAAAGTTGCAGAAACTGTTTGCGTATCCTCCACATCCATGCACTGGCTATAGCTGTGTGCAGCGTTCGCTCTGAGTCTGGCAAGACTGTGGATGGCAGATTACACACGGAAGCTGAAATTGAAGCTATATGCATCACCCATTTCGTGATGGATTTGGTCATGGCAATACGGGCAGAAACAATTGCCAAAAACTTGGCCCAACTTTAGAAACCCCTTTCATCCGCCACGAAAGTGTAGGGGTTTTGGGCACGCTGTAACGCAAAGGAACACACGAGCTGGCGCGCAAAACCTTATCGCACGACCCGGCGGGCTTGGCAATTTGTTGTTTTTTTGGTGCCAATCTGCCTTCAACACAAACTAGCCCACGCACTGACTGGATTTTTTTGAGAGGTATGGGAGCTCTTGGCATCATGAGGGTTTCCATTATTGCTGCTGCTAATGTGCATCTGACCTTGTCCAATCGCAGACCTCAGTCTGATCACTAGCCTCTGTAGACTGAGTTTTGGAGTGTTGCATGCAGGTCATTCTCTTGGATGTGCGTGAGGAGCTTGCCGCCTTTTTTGTTTGGACTTTCGAAATTTCTGGGTGGTACTTTTCAGATTTGCAGTAATGTGCCTTCCACAGTTGTGGCACCCCAAAACATTTGCAGGTCTGCAGGTCAGGGCTGCCGGAAGTAGGCTTTTTCTTCAAGCGTTCAAAGCGTTCAAGCGCTGGTGATCCATGTGAGCCATGCGAGTCGGCGAAGCGCTACACGTGTGCTGTTGAGCACAGTGGGGGTCACGCCAGCAGCGCTGCGCAGAGGCTGCGCTCAAGTCAGGCTTTCTCGCACTTTCTCACCGACACTGAACAGATGCAGCAGCTGGTATGTGTGCGTATGAACAAGTGAAAGCAGCACGAATCTACAGGAAGATCCGGAAGCCGAGGCCTTACATTCCCTACATACAGTCATTGTAAGCTGCCGCTCAACAATCCACTATGCAAAAAGGACCACGCCAGTCAGCCGCAAGGGAAGTTAGCGAAGAAGCATTGCACCGCTATTGTGAAACCCTTCAAGGAAGCTCCTCACAGAACCAACACAGAAGCCAAGAGGAGGGTAAGGAAGGAGCCTAGCTCCAAACCACCAAGCAGCTGCTCAGACTTTTTTGAGCCAGATGCCTTGCTTCCATGCTGTTGAGACCAACCTGTAACAAAGAGCGCCTCGAGAATGTGGGTGTGCGTTTGAATGCATCATGCTCTCAGGGATGAAGCATTTTGGCTGTCTTGGCAGGACAACACACCTGCAGTGCGGCTGTACAAGTCGGCTGGGTTTTCGCAAATGGGCTGGACTCCAGTTGCTTGGCATGGCCTAGGTAGGCAGCTTGGGCTCAGCAGGAACTCCGAAGCCCAAAGAGAATAGCCTCAAAAGGGGTTCACTTGAGAAATTTTGCAAAAAGAGCCTTCTGCGTGGGCTCAGGGCCAACCCAGCAATCAAACTCTCATTTACCCTGAGCCCCTGAATGCGCAAACTAGAATCTGAAAGAGGTAGCGGAGTTGGAGTTTGAGTGCCTTGTTGCCGGTAGAGGCCGGGTCATTGCTAAAAGAGTGTGCAACAGTGTGTTGGGGACATTTGTTGCTATAGGCTTCTTTAGCATCGCAGCTTGAGTCGTTTGGACGTGCATGGTCAGAGGGTTTGCCGTTCATGCTGTGGGATAAAACGCCACTTTCATTGCAGATCTTTCAGCACAAAGTTTCAAACACCTTTGCCCAGTGTCCATAGTCCATAGCCACTCGATTCACGGCTTTGAAGCTCAACAAGAATTTGAGATGATCAACTATCTGAGCCACAGAGTTTTTTTGCTACAATTTGTCAAGGCCTTGCACAGGCTTGATGGCTACCAGACAGCACTTGCTCAAGCAACAGGCAGCCGCCGTTTTTGCCGCAATTTACGTGGTGGGGCTGATCCTGACTTCGAGGAGGTCACCGCATGTTCTGCAGATGCCGGATTCCGGAAATGAGGCTTCATAGATTGGCACTGATCTCAACCCGCCTCAAGTCTTCAGGGAACTTCAGGGTATTCTGACATAGGCCTTCAAGTCTGCAATGAAGGGCCCCCGAAAGACCTCAGAGTATATTTTGTTGCTCTTCGCAAGTCCAGCGCAGCGCAACCAGGAGCCAGGCCACTCTGAGCTGGCTGTAGAGCTGATGCGGCGGGTGCTCTATCAGGCGGACAGTCTTTTCCTGTTCTCGCGTGAGCGTCGAGCGTCCTGCTGCGCATACGGCCAGCTTCAAGGGGAGGCATTGCTGGCAGGTGTGCCTTGGCCTGCTTCTGGGAGCATGGGCCAATGCCTGTATGAGGCCAGGACTCTGGATGACTACCAGGGGTCTGCTACATGACAGTGCACCCTGTTGCTGGAAGTTTTCCTGGCGCCCAGTGTCTGAGCAGGTGATTTCTCTCGGTGCCAACTGCGTGCGACGAGGATTGCCGGGCACTGGTTCCCAGCGCCCTGTAGCACAGCGATGTCGTGCTTGGTGGCTACGTCCAGGCCGTAATTTGTTCTTGTGGCTTGAGAGTCTCCTGTAAAGAAGTTAGCCAGAGATTCAAGTCAGCCAGAGCTTTCTCCCCTAGGGAAAGTTTGGGCTGTGACGCTAGGATTTGGTTTTGTTTCCTTGGTTGTGGAAACGTGATGGTTCATGGCGCAGCGAACTGGAGTTTTGCATTCAGAAGGATCCAGGGGTGTTGTGAATTTCATCATATCTGTTGCGTTTTCTTCCTTTTGCGTTCTCTCACTCTCTGGAGCGCTCACGTGCACAATCTCTCTCTCTGTCTCTCTCTTTCTTTGTCTCCATCCTGTTTGCTCTTTCTCTATCTCGCTTGCTCAGTTTAACTTTGCTTTGCATGCTTCACTTTTGAGAAGACCTTCTTCTTGAGCCTGCCGGTGGTTGCCTTGAAGAGATTGGCACAACGCTGCTAGGGCATCGAAGCCTGGCCGGACCTGACGGCTCGCTTCTCGTCTCATGAGCGCTTCATGTTGGTCCTGCGGAGCAGCCTGAGGGTGCTCATTACGTAGCGGAGAATCGGAGAGAAAGCACAAGTTGTTCGCAAGCTGAACTCCGCAGAGAGAAAAGAGTATCCAGAAGGGGTTGCATCAGGTGCCAGCAGCATGCCCTGTCAGTACAATGCCGGACGACGGTTGCAAAGTTGGGTTGTATCGATACCTTGACAGTCCTGGCTGCAGCTAGTGAGCTTCCCGAACTGTCGTGCATGGCCCGAAGTGAGACTCTGCCGGGGTTGGGGTGTGGCCCATGTGTTGAAGGTATTCGTGCAGGAGGACTTGAGGTGCTCCCACTTCACACCTGATGTTTGCCTCCTTTCTTGCCGACTACATCAGTTGTCCTTAGAACTCAAAAATCTATGAGTTTTTGTTGGTTTCTATTCCAGTTTCAAAGGCTAACAGAGATCATCTTGCACCTTGCAGAATGTGTTGTCAGTCTAGTTTGCAACTTGATGGCAGAGCTTGACGTTGTCCCAAGCAAAGCAGGTGTCGGGCTGAGATCTGCAGACGGTTCTTGTCACAGATCCCTGAGAATTCTGAATTTTATCCCTGGGGTTTGTCTTTTGGATTTCGTGGGAGCTAGGAGGGATTTGTACATGTGAGCTGGGACAAAAAACCGGATCTCCGCGGTTTATACAAAGCTAGCATAATTCATCGACATGTGCAGATGATGGAAAACGATATCCATGGCCTCCTAAGGGGAGGGAGAGGCAAGGGGGGACTTTCTAACGAGAACATGATGGGAACATACGGGCGGTAAGGGTGGGGTGAGTATACATATATACATAACATTAGTTGTAAAACATCAACCCTCTG